GCCTCATTTATCTGATTGGGGCCACTTTAGGCTGGCTTCCTCCACCTTTTCTATTTCAACTTTTTCCTCCACAAATTGCTTCTTAGGGGTCGGGGCATCCTCACCAGTACCATCGATATCGTCAAAAGTACGCTTCACACCACCGGCCGATGATACCAGAAGATTGGATCCATATTCATTGAGTCCAAATTGCTCCACTCCCTCCTCAGTCACTTCCCGTTGCTTCGTCCCCCCCCAGAGGATGCAGGTCTCGTCTACCTGGTCCGCTGTCCACATTATTCATAGATAACCCTTTCTCAAAATCCTGGACCACTTGTTGAACTCGTCCTGCCTGGGTACGGCGACGCAGCTGTCTCTTTTTTGGCGGGGGCTGCTGCTTGAGTTCGAACAGGTGGACATCCTCCTCCGATACCGTCCCCTCCGTGTCACCCGGAGCGGCCCACTCCGTGTCCATGGGCATCCCCACCGGGTTACCTGATTTGGGAGTACCCAATTCTACCCTAGTATCGGACAGCTCGTCCTCTCCATTGGGAGAGCTATGCGAGGGAGCACACATCCGTAATGGCACATGTTAGCAAAACTTCTTCAATTAGGTGAAAATGTAGAAAAATTATTTGTGAGAATATGCACCTTAACATTTGATTTTTTTACCCTGAATAGTCCGAAGAGTGAAGACCAAGTCAATTAAAAGAGAATGAGGTAGGTTGTATCGAAAATATCAGCAGTATCGTGGTTTAACAATAATTCAACGTTTCATACCGCTACATACCATCTATCAATGTTGCTTTCGATTGAAAATTTTACTGGTCGAATCATCGATACGATACGATTTTTCAACCCTTAAAATTTATACTTAAATTGAAAATAATTAACATGGTAAATTTAAAGGTGAGACTCCCCTCTTGATTTGAGTATGTACTTGAGTTAATTTGGATCATGGCATTTGTCCATTTGAAGATGTTTTGTTCTTTCTATTCCTGTTTGTCTATCATAAATCTCAACCAATATTATGTCTTCCACAAATTTCATTGCAATGTAATGTTCCTTCTCATTAATGATTATTCTGACAAAACCCAAAAGAACATGTGTCAACAAACATGAGTACATGACTCCATGACTTCCTTCTCCTTCCCCCGTCAATCACATAGTTTTATTCACAATTCTCTTTCCCCATTATTCCTTCTTAGATCAGCTTTAGTGATGGGCCAAAATTCCAAAATTTTGGACCCAAGGCACTTTAGTAAGGTTCGGGAATTTCATTTGGTCCAATTTATCCAAAAATTGGGGTCAAATTTGTCCCAAAAACGGACAAAAAGTCCAAACTTGCACGGGACCACAGGGGAGGAGAGGCAAACGCGCCCCATGTGTTGCGCCCCTGCTTTTTGCCCGTTGGAAATATAAATAAAAAAAATTTCTTTTCAACACCTACACTCTCCCCCAACGCTTCCTTCGGCCCCAACAACTAGTTTTTGCCAAATTTCTCTATAGATATTACCAATTCATTCACTTCTACTTCATCACTTCCATTTTTTTCTCTCAATTCTCTCCAATTGTGATACTCATCTTCTTCTCATAGAAAAAAAATCCCTTCCTCCCAAACGCCTGGTTATGTCTCAAAGCAATCGCCCACCAAATTGGAAGGAGGACGAAGATAAAGTTTTGTGCAAAGCGTGGATTGAAATTTCGGAGGATGGTTTTGTCGGCAATTATCAACCTGTGCCTGAGTTGTGGAGGCGAATTGGGGTAGTATTTGCCGAGAATACCACGAGAATTTCACGTCCTGACGGGGGCCTGCAAATTTGATGGAAGACCCTAATCAAGTTTTGTGGTGCATGGAATGCATCATCGAAGAGAGCAAGTGCGACACCAATGAGTGGAGAAAACCTCAACGATGTGGTGAGTCAAGTTAAATTAAGGATTATTATGCAAATAATTTATATTGATTTGCTTGTTCTTATTACTTAAAAATACTTTGTTAAAATTGTATAAGTTGAACGAGCTAAAAGTATTTACAAGGCAAATATCGAAAAGTCTTTCTATTTGCAGCATTGTTGGGAGATTTGTCAACATTTTCCAAAGTTTCTTCAGCAATTTACTACTCCCTTGCTACCCATTCCACCAATGGGTGGATCTTCATCGGGCTTCCCATCCGGCGAGAGTGATTGCCCCGATGTTCAAGCTACTTCTTTTGTGATCAACCTTCCCGAAGGCCGTGATAAGCAAAAGAAGAAGAACAAAGGAACTCCATATTCTTCCTCTGAAAGTTGGGAGAAGAATATGGCCAATATGGTCGATAATTCGAACACACACAAGGCTAGCACTCGCTCGAGAGGAACGTGAAATTCAAAGAGAAGCAAGGGAGAAGAACAGGCATGGGATGATGGTAATGGATAAGGATCTTTCTCAAATGAGTCCTCGATCTCGTGCTTGGTATGAGAGTCAAAAGGTTAACATTGTGGCTTCTTACCAAAATGATCTCGATATGTAATCTTTATGTAGTTTTGTGGTATGTTTGATGTACGCTTTTCGTTGTAATTTTCATGTAGTAGATTTATGTTTGATGTACGCTTTTATTCAATTGCTAATGCATGTACCTTCTTTTTCGGCTTATTAAGAGGAGATACATCAAGAGAACAAGGAAATACATTAAGATAACATAGAAAATACATTAGGATATCATAGGAATACATTAGGAATACATCAAGAAAACGTAGAAAATACATTAGGAAAACACAAGAAATAGATCAAGAAAACATAGAAAATATATTAGGAAAACATAAGAAATACATCAAGATAACATAGAAAATGCATTAGGAGAACACTTTATTTCAACACACTCGTCGACTACTCTCCTCCATGTATGGTCCACAAATGTTCTATCAAATCGTTCCGCAATGCGTGATGTCCATGTCGATCACGAATCCTGTTATGCCTAGCCATGTACTCCATGAGAGTAGGAATGTTATGTTCAGGTGGCTCCCATGTGACATTTGGATTACTCTCATTCTCATACTCAATGTTCACATCTTCCCCATCCCCATACTCAAACCGTTGTGATAAAGCACCATGGGGGTGCTTTGTTTGATCAGAATACGCAGCTCGAAACTCTTCAACGAAAGATAAAATAGATAGGTAGAATTTCGCCACAATCAAGGTGATTACTTGATTGATAAGAAACTTGTAAAACGAATCCGGAATCCCTAAAAATAAGCTTGACAAGGGTTCTCGAATTAGCAATGGAGTCCTCACAGAACTAACTCAAGGATTTGATTCTTGAGACACAACTCAAAGAACTCGAAACTCATGTAGGAGTAATTTTTATTCAACTCAACTCTTCTCTAACTATTACAACGAAAACTAGAGGGATTTTATAGCCAAAGAAAACCTAATACAATTCCAAACTAACAAGGAAACAATTAAGATAAAAATCTTCTCTAAAAAGGACTCAAAATTTGGGTTTAAACTTCCTTTCTTGGAGTACAAGTAAGCTGCCAGCAAACAGTTCAAAACAGCTTTCGTACTAACCTCGCACCTTTCGTTCGAGGCCTTCCGGAACTTCAATCTTTCATCCAAATCCTTTTTTTTTTTGTTTTGATGTAATCGTGGTTCTCCTTTATGAAATTTTTGGACTGGTTGCAGGTTTGAGGAGATTCAACTCACACTGATCGGGTCAAATTAGGTTAGATGCCCATGGATTTGGGTACAATTTTCTTTCTCAAACAAAAGGAAGAGCCGAAATGAAAAACACTAAAGGTAAAACTCGCTACCGTCTCAAAATTCGTCAACATAGGTTCAACTCGCTTTGACCTGGTTGAACCAAGTTTTGAGCAAATTCACACCTGACACAACCCGCCAATTACAAGAATAGATAAAACTCGCTCTCGCCGGAAACTTGTAAACACCGGGTTCAAGTCGCTTTGGTCAGGTCAAATTAGGTTGGATACTTATGAATTTGAACTCAATTGTCATTCTCAACCAAAAGGAAAAAGATAAAAAAAAACTAAAGTGGATAAAACTCACTCACGATCCTAAACTCTCAACACTGCTTTCAACACTTCAACTCGCTCTTACAGGGTCGACCCAGTTTTAACAAATTCACAATTTACCTAACCTGTCAATTACAAAAGCGGATAAAACTCGCTCTCGATATCAAACTCATCAACAATGGGTCAAAGTTCAATTGTCATTCTCTTTTTTTCATTGAATCAGTTGCTTTAATAACGTAGAAATAAAAGAACTAATTACAACGAGGCGGACCTCATAGGCTCTATGCAGGGCAAAAACAAAGCACCACTAGCCAGTTCAACGTTATATCACTGTAAAAAGCTACAAAATACTCCAAAAGACACTATATCAAAGATATCCCAAACATGCCGGATCGCAACAAAATCGGATAAAACTCGCTCACAATACAACACTTGTTAATAACTTAGATTCGGGTTCAATTCTCTTACCAACCAAAAGAAAAAAAGAGAAATTCATAAATACTAAAGTCAGTTTCAAGTCGATCGCTTTGACCGAATTGAATTAGGTTGGATACCCATGGATTTGGATTCAATTGTGAACATGGTCAACAAAAAGGATAAGGAGAAAGAAAAAACACTAAAGAGGATGAAACTTAGTCCCGATACAAAACTTGTGGTAACTCACAACCTAGAATTTTATGTATTAATTAATATTTGGGTTCAATTGTGATGATGCTCAACAAAAGGAAAAAGAGAAAGGAAAAAAAATACTAAATATGATCAAACTCGGTTCCGATACAAAACTCGTGGCGCTCCTTGGGTTCAAGTTAGGATACCATTGTGTTTGGGTTCAATAGATGTAAACCTAGCGAGCAATAGCTAAACACAAAGGTTATAGAATGCAGAGTGGGGTAAAAGAAGAAACTTGGAACATCCCCACTTGCACTTGGAGGAGTGTGAGAGTCACTAATGAATAGTAACTCACAACCTAGGCTTTTATATATTATTATTATTATTATTATTATTATTATTTTACTTTATGCTAAAACTTTCCAAAAACATCGGTTATTAGTTATTACACTCTGCTCCTTGGAACGAAGCAAGAGAGGAAGAGACAGATGGGAGCCCACATTTTATTTAATACGACACTAGTAACAACCATGCAGCTCACAACCCATACGTACTCATTTCTATTTAATAAAGACCATAAATATTGATTAAAAAGAAAATTGACATCTCTCTTTTTTTATATAAGGGTGATATAGATTTATTTTCATTATTATCTGCTACTAGAGAGATTTGAATCCGAAACATTCAGGTTCAATTGGTAGTTACCACTAGATCATGTTCTTGTTCACAAGAAACTATAAATTTCTCTTGGAAACTCTCATCTTCAAGCCATCTTTCATTGACAGTACCATGGATGGTGTTGGCTTCACGACATGACCCTCTACCATTTCAAATTTGTAGTTCCAAAGAATTGAACTAACCATGAACTTAAGTAGCATGAAAGACATCGCCTTCCCCAAACAAGTCCTCGGTCCTGTCAAAAAAGTCATGAACTTTTGCGACGGAACATGAATTATGTTTCCTTCATCTGAAATCCATCTTTCGGGCTTGAAATCCATGCAATCTTTCCCCCATGTCTCTTCCATCCTCCCCATGGAGTACATGGAGAACAACATCCTCATTCCCTTATGAACTTTGTGGCCGCTAGGGAGCACGTCAGCTTCAGTGGCGCATCGGTGCTCGAATGGCAATGGTGGGTACAACCTCAATGTCTCGTAAATTGCGGCATGAAGGTACACTAACTCATTTAAATCATCCTTGCAAATCAGAAACCTCGAAGTCCCTCTAACAGTCCTAGTCATGACTGCCATTACACGTTCGATCTCCCCAAGAATCTTTCCCTCAACGTCAGGGTGGGTCGCGACCAACCAGAGCAACAAAGACAGAGTGGAAGATAGGGTGTCCCTCCCAGCTGAAATTAGTGTAAACGCGATGTCTCTTAGAAACTTGTCTGGGCTTTGATGGTCAGCCACCAACCATTGTGTTAGCATGTCATGATGTTGTCTTTGCTCGTCTTTGTGCATCATCTCTTGTTTCTTGATCTTGACGGCATTGTATAAGAACTCATCCAACACCTTCGTACTTAGACTTATCTTCTTCTCCGAACCAATCTCAAACCTTTTCTGGAACTCCCAGACACCTTTGGGCACTATATGTCGGTATATGATTCCCTCCTCGATTTCCTCGAATGCTTTCCCACAAGAGAAATTTTTTGAACGCCCATCCACACAGAGGTAACCTGCGATAGATCGAGGATTGATAATTTGAGCGAAGACACAATTACTTGCACTATATATAAACTCGAGTACAAAATCATACTAAATATTTCACCTGGATCAAACCCTAAAACCCAGAGGCAAATGTTGTCGAACATGAACATCTTTGCCACGTCCTGCATGTCCACCTCAGCTCCGGTTCTGGATGAACAATAATCGTCGAGAATTCGGAACAAGGTGCTCTCCATCTTCAGCTTGAGGGTTGTCATCATGTGGTTCTGCAATTCCTCGTTGTTGAGGATGGAATGGAGCATCTGGCGCTGGAACTTCCACGACTCGCCGTCCACGTTGAAGATAGATGCCGTCTCCCAGGACCTCGAACATGGCTCTTGCTGAAGATGTGGTGGGCGTTGATGGGATCGCATCGCAGGTGACGATGAAGTCCATCTCGGCGAACCACGGGCCTTTGAACACGATCGTGCCGCCGTTTTCTTTGAGGGTTCTAGTGATGTAGCCATGGAGATCGTCGGCCCACACGTTCCAAAGGAGGCCGGGAAGCATGCCTAGCAGCGGCCATTCGAGTTGTTCCTAATAATACGACTAGTTATGGAAGGCCGCCATAGGAGGAATATGAAGGAGAGGAGAATTAGTAGCAAAATGGCAAGTAGTGGTATGATGGCCATTTGATGATTTTTGGTTTAATTGATTTATGAATAGCCCTTTGCATGGGGTGATATTTTTTATATATAACGATCAACTACTGTATGCAGTACGTATATATAGTACAGTACTACGTACTGTGACGTGCATGTATCAATGTTGACAAGTGTGTATGTGTCCTCCACGGCCAACCAACAAAAATATTTATGATACAGCTAGCAAAGCTTGAAAGCAATGCATGAGTCTAGAAACCCATCCAAACGATCGAATTTGCGTGGAAGGTTTCTCACAAATTCAAACCTTGTGTTGCAATCATACGTGTACCAACCATTAAGCACACACAGGCATCCAATTAACCAGCCAAATTTATGAAGCTATTGAAGAGGTGAAAGCTATCCACCTAGCTAACTCAGTACAACTACAAACTTGTGAGTTACGTTGTGATGTTATAATCTTCACCTACGTACGTGTGGTGTTGCCTTTCGCCACGAGACTCCCTAACTTAATGCTCTCTCTACCTTTCTTCTTCTTCGTCTTCTTTAGCATAAGAGGAAAAAGTACACTGTACACAGTGGCCACTACAAATTTAATGAGTATAGGGGACAAATATTAGAGACAATAATTTTATTTCGTTCCTGCAAATACATTTTTAAGTGATTTTAGGCACGGACAATTGAAATCGTCTCCACAAATTCAGCAATAGAGCTTTTAAGAGTCTAGGATAATCTTAACTCGTCTCCAATAGAAATTTTATGCACCGGATTTATCGGGAATTCTGTGGTGCAGTCACTGTATCTGTGCCGGCGATTAATCTAACCGGTATGGTTTGAAAAAATTGGTCCAGAATTAATCAGACCATAAAATAAAATAAACAAATTCCCTATTTCCCGAGTCCCCACTCTTCCTTCGTTCTTAAAAAGCATCATCGCCGCCATAGCTGCCGGCCGGCCATTACCACCATCGCCTTTGCCGCTGCAATCCCACTTCGCTCTTCTGTGAAGACAAAATCTAGATCTCGACTCCTACCGATAGTCTAAATCACCATCGCCATCATCGTTGCTGCGGTCGTTAGGCGCTAGCTAGGCCATCCCCAGTTCACCGTCATCGTGTTGTCGGCCGGAGAATTTTGTCAGAGTTTAATTCTTTCCAGCGGCTACTTGGTCAGCGATTACATCGATCGATGTGAAGAAAACAGGCACAAAGGAAAAATTGGATTAATCTTCTGTCCGCTAGTATTGGATCTTCAGTTGTTGGCGATCAATTGAAGATGATGGTGAAATTAGGCGGCACGGGTGCTGGCACGGCACCACAGAATTCGCCCGGATTTATAACTGTACATATAAAGCGTATCCCCTTTATGATATGACAGGGGAAAAAAGAAATAATCACAATATTTAATTAATTATACTTCTAATATTTAATTGACTTCCTTTTCCTTTGCTGAAAAGAAGACTTCGTTGGAAAGGATTATTAGGCACGACACCGGATTTATAGGCTCTTCCTTATTTGTGTAGGTTTTGTCTTCCCTTTTTATTTAGGAATGGCTAAATTACACGTTTGGTCACTCGAATTACATTAATCTTTCACATTTGCCACCCGAATTATTTTTCTTTCTTACTGACCACCAACTTTATGAATTGTTTCACCGTAAGTCACCCACCGTTAGTCTCCGTTAGATTCCGTTAACTCCGTCAATTTTTTGATGACGTGGCAAACGGAATTGCTGACTGTACCATTAATTTAATGACATGTCAATTAAAAAAATATAAAAATAAAAAAACCATTTCCCCTCCCACTCTTTCTCACTAATCTTCAACCATTCCCTTCCTTACAGCAGCCGCCGCTGAAGGCCAACGCCTGAAAACCACCATCCAGCTCTGTCAGTTATCTCGCCATAAAACCACCCTCGTCGTCTTCTCCTTCTCCCTCTCTTCCCATCGCCTCCATCTAGATCCCTCCTGACACCTTCCTCTCAGCTGAAGAAGCAACTTCTCAAGCAAGAGATAGTCTTACCATCGAGATCGACCATAACATTTGGGCAAGGCATATGCAAATCGTGGCCAAGGTGAAGGATATAATCCATTGCGTAGTAAAAAAACCCCAATTCAAAGTCAGACATTCATGAAACGGAACCCTAATTAAAAGCTGCAATTCAAATCCCCAATGTGCCAGGCGTCAAATCGCGATGGACGACCACAATCCGGTGGCAGGCGTCGAGGCCGGAGAGATTTTGCATCATCCACTGCTTGACCTCACCGGGGCGGATCTCTCCCTTCGTCTTCCCTTCCCGGATTACTAACGCCAAGTCGGAGTGTGGAAGTCGGAGTAAGCGTCGGAACCGACCCGCTCGTGGATTCAGTACTTAGTGATAGTTTCGTGTCGAGGTAGATGCTCCAGTCCTGGGAGGCGGTGGCGCAGGCAGTTGCGGCGGGGGAGATGTGGGCTTTCATTATTTTTTTGTTTCTGTTTATTCCGCCGGTGGGTTTGGGTGTCTGTGGAGTGTGAGAGCGAGGCGGGTAGGTTTTGCGGGTGAGGGAGCGAGAAGACCTTTACTAGTTTTAGAGAGATGAGAAATTGGAAGATAGAGAGTTTGTTTGGGCGAGGGGTAAATTAATTTTATTTTATTTTTAATTGTTATTTTATTAAATTAATTGTACAGTCAGAAGTTCCGTTTGCCACATCATCAAAAAACTGACGGTGTTAACGGAATTTAACGGAGACTAACGGTGGGTGACTAAAGGTGAAACAATTTGTAAAGTTGGTGGTCAGTAAGAAAGAAAAATAATTCGGGTGGCAAACGTGAAAGATTAATGTAATTCGAGTGACCAAATGTGTAATTTAGCCATTTAGGAATTAAGAATTGTAGACTTCCCAATTGCCTATAAAAGTGCCCCGCTGCATTGTTTTGAAACAACAAGAATAGAAGACAAAAGCACAATTGTAGAGATAAGGTACAAAGTTGTACCACTAATTGTTATCGTTAGGCGTTAGTTAGCCAAGGTAGAAATTTTTACCACTCATTGGGCGGCCAATCTCCGTAATTTTCAAGGTACTTTTTAATTTTTTTAATCATTTTACTTATTTTAGGTTTGAAATTATTTATTGTGTTTTGGTACCACCATTTGTTAGATATATACGTTTCTATGTTTTAGAATTTTTCACATGAATTCCATGCATTGATAATTCTTGTTATGATTTGCAGATAATGATTCCGAACAAAGATTGGATGAGTATAAGAAATAGGAGAGCACCTGAATTTATCGACGGAGTCAATAAATTTATTGAGTTCGCGTTTTCTCATTCTGCCAATCAACAAGTCATTCGTTGTCCGTGCACAAACTGTGGAAACGTCGCTTATAAGAATCGTTCAGAAGTGAAGTTTCATCTATTGAAAAATGGAATCTTAAGCCATTACACAACCTGGTATTCCCATGGGGAAGTTGCAAGTAATAATACGAGGGCACCCACGAGTGGAGAAGTTAATGAAGATCCTATTTCTGGTGATGCACTTGACGATATGGATGAACTTATACATGATGTGTATGGCATGGGAAGAGACGAAGAAGATTTTGGCATCGGAGAAGAAGAGCCTAATAAAGACGCTGCTACCTTCTATCGCTTGCTCAAAGAGGCTAATGAGAAAATGCACTCAAATTGCAAGCACACTAAACTAGCCACGATTGTGAAATTGCTCCATCTCAAAAGTCAACACAAGTGGACTAATAAGTCATTCGACGACTTACTTAGCATTATGAGGGAACTGATTCCGAATGGCCAGGATATGTTGCCTGAATCTTTCAGTAGTGCGAAAAAGTACATTGCTGATTTGGGTCTTGGTTATGAGAAGTATGATGTTTGCGAGAACAATTGCACGTTATATTGGGGTCCTCATAAAGATGCAACATCTTGTCCAGTATGCGAATTGCCTCGATATGCTTCTTTCGATAGGCATGGGAAGGGAAAACCACACAAGGTGTTGCGATATTTTCCCTTGACACCGAGACTGTAGAGGTTATATACGTCAAGTAAAACGGCTTCCCAAATGAGATGGCATAAAGAAGGGCGAACTGATGATGGAATAATGCGACATCCTGCTGATACTCCTGCTTGGAAGTCATTTGATGAGAAATATCCATCTTTTGCAAGTGACCCTCGAAATGTTAGACTTGGTGTAGCAACAGATGGGTTCCAACCTTTTGGCAACATGAGCTCCCAACATAGTATTTGGCCAGTGGTGCTTGTCCCATACAACTTGCCCCCCTGGTTGTGCATGAAACAACCATATTTTATCATGTCAATGATTATACCCGGCCCTAGTAGCCCCGGTATGGGCATTGACATATTTTTGCAACCCTTGATCAAGGAATTGAAGGAATTATGGGTGGATGGAGTGAGCACATATGATGCCCATTCGAAAAGGAACTTTCAGTTACGTGCTTCTGTTTTATGGACTATTAGCGACTTCCCGGCATATGCTGATTTGTCAGGATGGACCACTAAAGGTTATAAGGCTTGTCCATCGTGTCATAAGGACACTTGTGCCCAACACTTAGGAAATTCGAGTAAGATGTGCTACATGGGTCATAGGCGGTGGTTGTCGCCTAATCACAAATGGAGAAAGAATGCTACAGGATTCAATGGAGAAAGGGAAAAAAGAAAGGCACCAAATCCATTGTCAGGTGATGAAGTGTTATTGAAATGTCAGACTTTCAAGCAACTACCTTTCAGAAAGGATATGAAGGTAAACTATGATGCTACTAACAGTTATGAAAACTTGAGGAAAAAGAGCATATTTTTTGAGCTACCCTACTGGAAGACGCTTCTTATCCATCACAATCTTGATGTCATGCATATTGAGAAAAATGTATGTGATAATGTGCTCGGTACCATTATGGATATCAAGGGGAAGACAAAAGATTCATACAAAAGTAGGTTGGACTTGGTAGAAATGGGGATTCGAGAAGAACTACATCCGAAGGTCGTTGGGGGTAGAACTCAAGTTCCAGTTGCACTTTACATGCTATCAAAGGCAGAGAAGGAATCATTGTGCAAAATGTTGACAACTATGAAGACTCCAGATGGATTTTTATCTAAAATTTC